ACAACTAGTTCCTAGTTAACATCTTGTAGGAAAACCTACATAATGTCAAATTACTTTTCAAGCTATGTAATGCAAAGCAAATCTCTCCGATGATATGCAAATACACACACACACACACGCACGCACGCACGCACGCACGCACGCACGCACGCACGCACGCACGCACACACGCACACACGCACACACACACACACACCTACACACACACACACCTACACACACACACACACACACTCTTTTTTTGTCTACCAGACAACAAACTGTGTTTTTGTAAGCAAAGTTTTCAATATAAATGATATGCTTATAATTCCAGTTTTAAATCATTTCCATGATCGGTTTTTCAAGATATCTAACGTGTATTTAGGGAAGTTTCCTATTCTTACAAATCAGATTGAATCAATAGTTTGGATGAAAAACAAGATAAATGTTGAACCACCATAACAGTCGACCCATCTTGCAGTCGGAGTACCTGTATAGGATGAGGATAAACATCAGCTTGGCAAACGATTGGTTAATGAAGATCGTCAAATTTCTCACCTACCTCCGAACAGTGTTTTTAGCTCTTCAAATTCTGCTTCCCGTACGCCTGTCTCCAGGACCTCTAGACCTATACCGAGAAAAGATCGAAACGTTCATGTTCTGCTACGCTTCTGGTGCATTTCAGTGCCCTAAAATTAACGACTGCCAAATTCAACCTGCTACGACGTACAATGTTAGGAGCATAGGTCAGTCCTATAATTACATTTTTCTCGTACTCCGCGCCCAATCAACCATGATATTGGATCCGATCGAGCGTCCCTGACTGTGACCGTGCTGTCGACTTGTTGGAGTTGAAAAGCGCCAACTGTTGATCCAAAAAAGCCGCCGTCGCATCGTCAGTCGGTTTCAGATAATAAGAAATAATAACGCTCCGACAATATCGGGTGATCGATAGAAATGGATAAAATGTCATGCCGCGGCATCGGGTGCATTGGGATTTGTGATTGAAAAACTGGTCACCACTGATATCGAGTCTATCGGGTCTAGTTATTATCGTATTGGATGGCGGCCGATGACCGCAGTGTGCTCTATAACAGATTCTGTCAAAGAATTTCTGTTAATAGAGGCTTTAATGAAGCTTGCACTGTGTAAGTAGTGTAAAAATGGTTACAAATGTTACAACGGCACTAGTGCATTTGATTTCTGGGTTCGCCTTTGGATAAAATGTTCTATACATATAATTGGCACCAGAAACTTAAACAGTGTTAGTAATCGTGAAAAATTTCGAGAACGTGATACCTTGTTTTTTGGATGTTACATGACATGCACATTATGTAAAGTCATGTCACTCACTTCTGTCGGTCTGTCTGTCTATCATCCCCTCCGCTAATCTTTTATCCATCTTTGACTTGGAAAGTACCGCTCAGATTTTGATGAACTATGCCAAGGATAAAAAAGGTTTTCAGTTTTTGAAAATCGATCCAGTGGCAGCGGAGCTACAGGCAAAAATAACAAAAAAAAACACCCAAGCTTCATTTTTTGGCGTATCAGATGCTCCTGATCATTTTGAGAGAAAAAAATTGTAGTGGTTGAAAACTGGGGGTGGTGTGTGTGGATTAGGGTATGTCACAATCTTATGGCGCTAGTATATGTATACGCTTTCGGCCACGATAATTATACGCATCTGTCAGGCAAATAGATTTTCCCGTACATTTACCCTTAAAACATAGACGATGGAGGCCTGCACACGTATCGCAACGATACCACGAATTTAGATATAGCTGTCCTGGGCCGAGGTCTGATTGATGTCTGATATCTGACCGATTGGTGGTTGGCGAGTGGCGAGGTTAATCATAGCACAGTTGCCAGATGGTCGATACTTGTTGATGCGGGAGAAATTTCTAGACCGCAACGTGGTTATACGGGTGGGAACTATGGAGTAGATATATTAATAAATTTATTGTTAGATATTCCTAGCTAACCTTTTTCTCGAAGGTACTAACTTGTATCTAACGTAATCCTGGGAGGAGCAGAGTTAACCTACTTGACGCCATTTTCAAATCAAACATTATTGACTGATTGAATTGTATCTCAATGGTAGCAGCTTATTCTAAAACAATTTTTGGTTACTATGACTGCATATATGTACCTCAGATCACGACTAGGATATGTCCAAATAAGTAGGCTTGAGATACTTGTATTTGAAATAGTTTTCTTGTATTGCACTGTATGCGATTTAACATGATTTGAAGAGTCATAACTTTTTCTCACAGGTAGATGGACGCTGCAAGTAGCAAATGAAAATTAACGATTATCACAAGCTTAACATACAAAACTCATTTTTATCAAAAATGGACTTAACCTAGTCTGCCTCTCTGGTATAGATATGCAATGTTAAGGAACCTAAAATTAGAAAAACACAAATAGTCTAATCATATTAGCAAATTTCCCCGAAATAATTCTAAAGTCAGGTTTTATTAGTGCAAGTTGTTCAAGGAGGTATTTAAAACATGGACGCATAAAAAGGGTACACCAATTTTTGTGGGAAAACTTTTTGACAACAAAGAATGAGAGAACCTGTTTTTTGGGATTCATTCGAAAGTGTTGCCAGAAACGAAAACACTTTTCGTATAAGATTTTTAGGTATTTATGAGACCTACAAGATGAGACCACACGTGAAAAGATCCAACCAATAGCAAAAATGTTATGGCCGATAAACGAGGCAAAATGCAGGTTTTGGCACTTCTTGATAATGGGACGATAATTTCAGGCAACAACTTGAAATTCTTCAAATCTGTAGGATTCATACTTCTAAATAAGAACAACAAAATTGAGAATATTGGTCAAGTAGTTTTTTGAAAATTTCTAATTGTTTATCCCAAAACACCTGTTTTCCGGCCACCACTAGTTTATTGAGCAATATACAGGCTTCGTTCAAAAAGCATTTAATAGAAAAATACATGTGCTTATCTTGTCGATATGAAGCACAAACTATTCCGAAGGATCAATGTTATCTTTATGCGAAAAACAAAGGGACAAATGTGGTACGATATTCGAAAAACAAACGTTATTAGACACATTTTAAAACAAAGTAGATGTCTGTCATCTTTTGTTGCGAATTACTCACAAATTCGAAATGTTTGAATAAACGTAACCCATCCTTTTTGACATAAAAATAATATTTATTTTCCGGTATAGTTTTCGATTCATATCGGCAAGGTAAGCTAGTGTATTTTGCTATAAAATGCCATTTGTCCAACCCTGTATATTTCTCAATAAACTAGTAGTGATGGCAGGAAAGCAGGTGCTTTGGGACAAACAATTAGAAATTCTCAAAAACTACTTGACCAATCGACTCCAATTTTGTTGCGGTTATTTAGAAGTACGAATCCTACGAATTTGGAAAATTTCAAATATCTGCCAAAAACCATCGTCGCATTACCAACAAGTGCCAAAACCTGCAGTTTGAATCAGCCATAACTGTTTTGCTATAAGTCGGATCTTTTTACGTGTGGTATCATTTTGTAGATCTCATAAATACCTAAAAATTGTATATGAAGAGTTTCTCCGTTCCTGCCAACACTTTCGATTGAACCTCAAAAAAACACGTTTTCTCATTATTTGTTGACGAATAAAAAGTTTTCTAACAAAAATTGGTGTACCTATTTTATGAGTCCATATTTTGAATACACCCTTGAACAACTTGCTGCAATAAAACCAGATTTTACAATTATTTTACAAACCAGGGGTATTTTCGTCTAATATGAATAGACTAAAAGACAAAATGTTACTTGTCTTATGAGAAGCAATGCAATATCCAGCAGAAAACAACATGTCGGAATTCTGAACAGAATACCCTCTCATTAGGGATCCAAAACCAGATTATAAAAAAAACGTGATTCCACTAGAACTAGAAAAGGAGATAAGTAACTGTCTACTTTGCGAATAATGACGACAAATGGAACATTTGGCCATAATCAGGTTCCGATGTGGATCACCTCTAATCAGTTGTGGTGTCACTGGAAATTGAAGGAATCCGTAAAAATAAGACATAAACAAGAAACGAAACGCGCTTGCGACGAAGTCAACAGTGCCAAGCGTAATTCTGGATATGCGCTTTTATACAGTGTTGTCAGTATTCTTCTTTACCTTTAGAGAAGAGTTCCTATAAGTCTTTTCATGTTTTTGGCGGCTCACAGTAGAACTACAGGACTCTGTTGCGGACGTGCCCATCCAGTTTGTTTCATTTGAACGCCGCTTGATGGGGCAACAAGCAGCTTGGACGAACAAGGGGACAATGGCGTGGGTAGGATTGAATTTGCATCCAGCAGTCGATTCTGAAAGTTGGTTGGACCAACTGCTTATGTCGGTTCCACGTAATGGAGGAGATGCGGGGTCAAATCCCGACAGCGCTCATTTTTCCTTTCTGCCAAGTTGTTGTTTATTGATTTTTTTTTGTTTTGACTCGCCGCAATGAAAAATGTCTCCGCATGAGTCAGTATGATTACTTACTTGGAATGGGGTACTACGAGCTTGTTCTGTAGATCTTCGCCGCTGCGTTGGTGATCAGCTTGAGCAGTGTGCAGTTTCTCTTAAGGAAGTGCAGCTCCGTTCATGGTACAGTTAGTCAATATGTTTACTTGTTTCTTATGGCGTTGATGAAGTAACCAACAAAAAGGGAGAGGAAGAGAGAAAACTATAAAAGATGAATGCCTATAAGTAAGGCTCATGCTCGTATCCCATATAGCACAACGACATCTTAAAAACGTTCAAAAGATATATTACTCTGTACGTTCAAGTTGTCTTAAAGATATCTTGGATTTCCGGAAAAATGTCTCATATACGTCTTATAAATGTACGTATGTTACAAATCCTAACATCTTTAAATGACATCTTTGAGATGTCTGTTGACGACGACTTTAAGATGTCTTTTGATAACAGTTTTAAGACTTGTTTTAACCCCATTTTTCGATAAAACTATAACTCTACAATAAAACAATTGAATATTGAAAAAATCTAGCCCATATATTTTGGAATGGAAAATACAATGTATAGCGTAAGTTTAAAGTTTTTTATTCATTTGATAGGTATTTCTATCAGATGCTCTTCTCAGCCATAACTGAATTGCTGTTTCAGCCTCCTTTTTTGACTTTACCAATGTTGTAGCAAGCAATGACTCTGAAAATCATTAAATTAAACTTGGGAAACATATTAGGGTAAAAATATGTACCAATTAGCAAATCTGCAATTTTCATATTTGAAATTTTTTTTTCCTTTACGGCCCAGCCAACTGTATTTCATAGCCAGTTCATTGGATAAAATTAATTTTGCTACTCGAGCTATGAAATCGTAGGACTTTATGCCTCCAATCTTGACAAGCTACCTACAAATATACACATTGCTACAAATTTTAAGACATATACGATAGATTAAACCTACTGCATTATTGAAATTTGAGGTATCAGCCAAATAGTTTTCAAATAGCAGGACATCTTCATCTGAAGATAAGGGAAAGTTCAGTGAAATTGAAGAAAAGAAACTTTTTGTTGTATTTGATGTCTGTTTCTTTGCCACCAGCTCGTCTTTCAGTTGTTTGACTTCAGCCAAGGTTTCCGTAACCAATCCTCTTAAAATATGTCCCTGCTGCACAAGCACTTCAAATATTTTATCTAAAAACAAAAAAAAAGGTTGGATCAATAACAAGAAAATAACCCTGGTTGTTTACTCCGTGAATGAGTACCTCTTTGACGATGCAATTTAGTCTAAGTTTTAACCTAATTTTATCAATTTATCAATTTTTTTTATTTATTTATTTATTTGTTTTAATAATGTTTGTACTTATTTTATGTTATGTGACCATATACATATGGTATATACCTATGATCCGAACACACTTATGACCAAATACTGAAACAAGTATTGGATAAACCTGGCTACTTGAACTTTTAGCTAGTGGTACTCCATCTATATTGATATTTAATAATATAGTATTTGAATTCTAACTGCTCCCCAAAGAACTAACTAAAGATTTAATAGCTTCAGTCAAACCAAAATGATAATACTCTCCTGTAGGGACAGAATCAACAAGAATGTTTCTTTGTGTTTGTAGTAATGTGCGGGCATCAAGAGGTAAACACTCATTTACATTATTGTTCAAAATTTTTAGCAAATCTGTTAAAGCAGAATTTGAAATATTGTATTTTATCGCCCAAAATACTAACTTATTTTGTAAGCACATTTCATCCATACTACATTTAGTGTTTTGTTCAATACTTGATGATGATTCGGCACTCAATTCAGTTTCACCAAAATGATCACCCATGGTCTCATCATTCTCCTCTAAATGATCAAATAATGGGCAATCAGTCAAAGAAAGATCAACATTTGCATTCTCACTGCTATTTCCCTCGATGCTATCTATCACTAATACGTGAAATAGCAGACTTCCCAGAATTGGAACTAGCAGGAGGGTCATGACCTATTGCCCTTTTAGCTCGCATATAAAATTTTTGCAAGTTATTTCTTTTCATTTTAATTATATTCAGATATGCTTTTAAGTAGTATGCACTGCACAAATTTTTTTTTTAAAAATCGGTGATAAAAATGGCAGGACCTACTCCGGATCAAACCACGCCACAAGGGAGAATCCACGGAGAATCTATAGAGTAAAGAACACGCATTAAAGGGCGCAAATCAGACAAGGTTAAGAAACACATTCCAGCTAAAAAACTGATGATATCCACAAATACATACCTTTCAACTTGCAGGCAGGCCCGTGAAGTACAGAAAAGACAGTTTTCGTACAGATTACAGTGATTACACATAGATTAATTAGCATTAATTAGGCACCACAACCTCATTACGCACTTTGTACTTTCAGCTCACAGATCACATAACACTGAGAACGCGAGAACAGTCCCGTGTCATCCATAGCCATAGGGCAACGCAATTGACTTATGTCAATGTCAAGCGGCCATTTTTTTACTGATTTGAGTTTTTTTTTGAACATACAAAAGCATTTGTTTTTTTCTCTAAAACTATTGCACCTAGTATTTTAGCTATAATACTTAGAACAGTCAATTGGATACTTGGAATATTATTTTCAGCCACAAAAGATATGGAAAAGATATCTTAAAGATGTTACATTCCAGATGTCTTAAAGACATCTCTAGTAAGACATCTGGGAGATATCTTTTTCAGGTCTTAAGACATAACGACCTCATTAGGACATAAATAAGACATCTTAAAGATGTTGTGTGCTATATGGGATTTTAACCGCAGGGGTATAGCAATCAAGATCAGTTCTGCTTCGCTTTAGTGACCCAGGTGCGAGTCCCTGAAGAGGTGGTATAACAAAAAATGAATAAGCGATCCTCTTAGAAATGCTTGGAATTAAGGGATGGCTCTTGGTAGATTCCCTCGCTAGCTAGACATAGAGGAAGGAACATGCTTGAATAAATTCCAGCTATTAGTCAACCCGTCTACGACATTCGAGTGGATGATTAGGAATATCTTCCTCCAGTTTCTCACCCTCTTCAGGTAGCTGTCAAAACACCATGGCCTGTTACATCCCATCTCTCCGACCGTCTGAAGCAAGAGTCTCTCCTTGGTGAATCCTAGCTTTGGTGCCCTTTTTGTAGAGCGTGCATCTCTCCTCAGCCAGCAAAGCAAATGGTAGGATACCAGCCACCACCAGCAACGCATCTGTAAGCGCATACCACACACTACTTTTCGTTGGCATCTGAGCATTAGCTGTCTATATTTCTGTTTTCTTAAGGTCTTGTTATGGATAGAAGCTAAGTACAGCATAATCCGTTTGCCACCCCTGTCAAAATCGTACTCCTCTCACTACTGGGGCCTCCATCAGGTGGCATTAGCCGTTCCGCCCATATAGTAATTTCCCTGATTCCATATGCCAAACTCACTGTTAGATACCTTAGTCACCGCCTTCGCAAGGTCGTCAGCATATCTTATCAAGCGAACTCCGATGTTCCAAAGCAACGGCCCTAGGACGGAGCCCTGCGGCAATCCCATGCTTACCTTCAACGTCTTTTCGTCTTTCATAAGTGTCCTCTCATTAAACTAACTCATGATCATGTTCAATAGATATATTGTGCAATGCTTTATGGTAATAATAACAAGAACACGTCTTTATTGGGATGTGCTAATATATACTAAGTGACATATAAATCCGAACACCCAGTTTAAATGGTTTTATTTTAATAAAATTTTGTATAAGTACTTAATGAAGCATAATAAGTAAATGATAAAAATTTCAAAATTATTGCACTGCTTTAAAGCTCTTTGACCTTTAATAATGTGTGGATGCACCCTGATGTGCTACGCATTCTCCAACGCGCCTAGGCATGCTTCTGATCAGGTGGTCAATGTCCTCCTGTGGTATCTCATTCCAGTCAACCACCAACTCCTCTCGAAGTGCTTCTAGAGTCTGAGGAGGACGTTGCAAATTGAGCAATCTCCTACCCATCATATCCCACACGTGCTCAATAGGGGATAAGTCGGGAGATCTTGGTGGCCATGGTAACAATGTGACATCATTATGTTGAAGGAAGTCTATTGTGACTCTTGCAACATGTGGTCGGGCATTATCTTGTTGGAAAGTTGGATCTGTCAGGGTGTCAAGATAGGGTAAAAGATGGGGTTCTAGAACTTCGTGGATATAACGCTGCGCGTTCATGTTACCTCTGATGAAGATTAAAGGTGACGTGGAACCACAAGCTATACCACCCCAAACCATAACTCCAACAGTGTGATGAACATGTCTTTCAACAAAAAACTGTGGATTCCTCCTTTCTCCACGTCGCCTTCTAACCCTGGCACGACCATCGTGCATGCAAACAAAATCGAGACTCGTCACTAAAGACAATACTGTTCCATTCCTGATCCCAGAGTGAACGTTGTCTGCACCACTCAAGGCGATTACGTCGGTGTTCTCGAGTTAAAGGGAGGACCCAGTGTGGCCGGCATGAAAACAAGCCAAAACTTCTCATTCGTCGGTAAACACTTCGCATACCAATAGGTCTTCCGTGTTCTGCAAACCATTCATTTGCAATGGACCTGGTAGTGGAGAAACGGTCCCTTAAGGCCAATAATCTTAGGCGGCGATCTTCACGGTCTGTTGTTCTACGGCGGCGTCCAGTGCCCCTTGCTCTTTGCGTACGGCCTTTTCGAAGCCATGCCTGACAGCACCTAACCACAGTGTCTACACTTCTTTGCACTCTAACTGCAATTGCCCGAAAAGAAAGTCCAGCTTCCTGAAGTCCCACTATACGGCCCCTATCAAACTCACTAAGTTGACGAAATCGTACAGGTATCCGTACTATAGGCATTGTAACCGATCGTAAAGAATGTCAAGAACCAAAATCCGCCAACGTTGATTCTTTACTGCGGCTGAAATATTCATTTTTAGAGCGTTAGTGAATTAAAAAAAAGCAGTATAAAAACCGGAATGTCCAACTGATAAGGCTGAAAATTTTTTCACTTGTTATTTACAGTAAGATAAATACATTCACCAACTTTTATTAAAATAAAACCATTTAAACTGGGTGTTCGGATTTATATGTCACTTAGTATAGCTGGCTACAGCGTCAACTATGAGATACTAACATCTTCAAAGTAGATTTCTAGTAAGTGCGGTGAGGAGAAACGTAGCTGTGACTAATTTTCATGGATGACAGTACGGTATCTCATCTCATCTCGGATAATTTTTTGGCCGCTGAGATATAGTATTAAGTTGGTTATCTTCAAGTAGAACATTTTAATCGATACGGATCGTTACAAAGGTACCTAGTAGGCTCTCTCTACTGTATGCCTACTCCATAGCAAGGAAAGAGTCCTGGCATGGCAACCCTGCACGTCGTACTGGCGCATACGTGCATACGTGGGGTCGACGACCAGACATGTTGTTATTATTAGATCGGTGGTCCTCTTCCATCTTACACACTAACACTCCTCCTTTGCCTCTAGACATCGTCATCAATGTTGTGCCATCATAACCGACCGGCAGTTTTTTCGATTTAATGGATGATGTATCTCATTGATTGGCTGGATGGTTATGCTCGTCGGCGATTTTTGCGTCTCAGGACACAGGCGGTGAGCGCAGAGAGATGCATTGACGAGTTGCAAGATGGGGAAGTGCGTGAGCGGTTCAAGGTCGATGTCGGTTGTCACTTTTAAGGTATCTTTTAGATGCTTAATAAATTGTTGATATTCATATTGAGCGAATCAGGCCAAAATCGAAATGCGGCTGAAGTTCCGATCGATCACGCTCTGATCGAAACGGTAAAAAGGCAGCAGTGACGAAAATTTGCCATTACCACTTCTACTGACGTAATTTAGGTCCAAATAAACATAAATCGATGCGGTTTTCACGTAGTTCGATTGTATTACGGGCTTTCTATGTACTGTAAGAGTTTTATCTCCCTCCTCCAAAATCTTCCTCAAAGTGAGGAGAAACGCGAAAAAATTGATATTACATTAAAATAAACCTGGAGAAATGCGGTTTTCACGTCAATTGATTAGAAAAAGCATATTTTACTTACGCTAAGTTCAAATCCGTGATATCTCGTTCACAGATACCGCAAATTGACCCCCCTTTAAAACCTAATATTTTAGAAGCTATATAATCATCTATAGCTTTTCAAAACCGCCCAAGACCAAAATGTTTTGGACACTTCTCGCATGTATATGATCTAGTCAATCACACCATATCAGCCGTTTCCCCAAACCAAGTCCGGAACCCTCCGTTTTTGACCCCTCTTTATTTATACATGACAAACTTGAAAAAATCTATTATTCGTCAAAACAGCCGAAGACCCAAAATTTTTTTACATTTCTGGCATCAGTATAATCCACTTTATCACTCCCTTCTAGCCGTTTCCCCAAACCAAGTCCGGAACCCTCCGTTTTTGACCCCTCTTTATTTATACATGACAAATTTGAAAAAATCTATTATTCGTCAAAACAGCCGAAGACCCAAATTTTTTTTACATTTCTGGCATCAGTATAATCCACTTTATCACTCCCTACTAGCCGTTTCCCCAAACCAAGTCCGGAACCCTCCGTTTTTGACCCCTCTTTATTTATACATGACAAACTTGAAAAAATCTATTATTCGTCAAAACAGCCGAAGACCCAACATTTTTTTACATTTCTGGCATTAGTATAATCCACTTTATCACTCCGTACTAGCCGTTTCCCCAAACCAAGTCCGGAACCCTCCGTTTTTGACCCCTCTTTATTTATACATGAGAAATTTGAAAAATCTATTATTCGTCAAAACAGCCGAAGACCCAAAATTTTTTACATTTCTGGCATCAATATAATCTACCTTATCACTCCCTACTAGCCGTTTCCCCAAACCAAGTCCGGAACCCTCCGTTTTTGACCCCTCTTTATTTATACATGACAAATTTGAAAAAATCTATTATTCGTCAAAACAGCCGAAGACCCAAAATTTTTTTACATTTCTGGCATCAGTTTAATCCACTTTATCACTCCCTACTAGCCGTTTCCTCGAAGCAAGTCCGGAACCCTCCGTTTTTGACCCCTCTTTATTTATACATGAGAAATTTGAAAAAATCTATTATTCGTCAAAACAGCCGAAGACCCAAAATTTTTTTACATTTCTGGCATCAATATAATCTACCTTATCACTCCCTACTAGCCGTTTCCCCAAACCAAGTCCGGAACCCTCCGTTTTTGACCCCTCTTTATTTATACATGACAAATTTGAAAAAATCTATTATTCGTCAAAACAGCCGAAGACCCAAAATTTTTTTACATTTCTGTCATCAGTATAATCCACTTTATCACTCCCTACTAGCCGTTTCCCCAAACCAAGTCCGGAACCCTCCGTTTTTGACCCCTCTTTATTTATACATGACAAATTTGAAAAAATCTATTATTCGTCAAAACAGCCGAAGACCCAAAATTTTTTTACATTTCTGGCATCAGTATAATCCACTTTATCACTCCCTACTAGCCGTTTCCCCAAAGCAAGTCCGGAACCCTCCGTTTTTGACCCCTCTTTATTTATACATGAG